CTCCCACAGACGTTTTGAGGACAGCAGTGAAGCGTGTGCCGGCTGTTTCGCAATCAGGCGTCAAAATACTTTGCAATTCCTTGCCCGTGTTTGGGGACGTGCTTTTATCAGCCCCCAGGTCCCATCCCTGCTCTACGTGCTCTGGTCCTGGTGTGTTTTGGAGCATCCCTGGGAGGGCGGCTGGCCTGGGAGGTGTTGCTTTACTCAAAACTCACAAGCTTCACAGCTCCAAAACTGCTCCCCAGATCCAGCTTAAATTTGGTAGAGAAACACGTCTGGCCAAGTAGGCTGGAGCACCAGGCAGTTCCCTGGGTGAGCTGCAAAACTAAACTGTAAATGAAAACTAGTGTAAAACACAAACGCAGCCACAGCCCCTCCACACTCTTCCTCTCTCCCGAAGAGATGAGCTGGTCGTGATGCAGAAACTCCCAATAAAGCCTGAGAGCGAGAGCGTTCCCTGCCAAGCACCAGCCTGTCCAGGGGAGGCTGAGAGGGGCTGGTGAGGGGGTGTAATTAAAATCAGGTTTTCCTGCAAAAGCTTGTGTGATCTCCAGCCATCAGGGCCGAGCTGAGCATCACTTGCAGGGTGTCAGGTATTCATGGAGCTGAGCAACTCCCAGGTACTTGTAGGAGCCTGTAAATTACGTGCTTTTATGGGGGTGTATTTTACAGCGTGGTGTCAGGAGATGTAATGATGGCATGTATCACTGCCGGCGATGGGACTCAGCCGGTGTGGGCTAACCCAGGGAAAAAGGCTCTTTGCAGAGAGCTGCACAGCGGGGAGGAAAATGCCGAAGCAGGACAGGGCTCTCCCTTGCTCCCATGCAGCCCCGGGGGACAGCTGGTACCCGGATCTCAAAGGATGCTGCAGGGATGTGCACGGCCCCGTGGGGCTCAGCGTCCTCAGCAGGTCCCGAGTGCCCCGGGGTGGGCGGTGAGGAGCTGCGGCCCATTCGTGACAGCACGAGCCAAAGTGCCTTTTATAGAGCAAGAGCAGGAGTAATTTATCGGGAAGCTTTTAGGGAAATGAGCAGCTCCTGGGCCCCTGCCAAGGCGCAGCCCCGCTGGGCTCGGCCCGGTGTCCTCTGGCAGCTCTTGCTGGGAGAGGAGGGGAGGACAGGGATGGGAATAGGAGTGGGAATGGGGACAGGATGGGGATGGAGATGGGAACAGAGATGTGGACAGGACAAGGACAGGGTTGGAAATAAGGATGGGGATGGAAATAGGGATGGGGATGGGGACAGGAGTGAGGATGGGACAGGGACAAGGATGAGGCTGAGACCATCCCACACTGCTTGCAGCACCAGAGAGAGCAATAACCCTTACCAACTTCTTCCTATCCCAAAACACTTCTCGGTGCTATGGCAGTCTCAGCACTGCAAACCCCAGTGGTTTGCTGCCAGTTTTGCTCTGTCCGGCAGGGACCGATGACAGTGCCCGCACAGGGGCCTTCTGCCTCCCACCTCCCCTCAGCCGCGGCAGCCCCGCACCTCCCCAGCACCTTCCCTTGTCCCACTGCACCGCTCGCTTATTAAGATTTTTTTTCCTTTCCTAGTGAGCATTTAATTAAATTAGCAAGGAGCATCGCTGTCTCCCAGCAGCCTCAATGAGCCGTCCCCGGCTGCGGCAGAGCGGTGCGAGGCCGGCGCATGGCGAACATGGCCGGGATCCCGTGCTGCCTGCAGCCCGGCTGCTCCTGAATCGGGAGCTGCGATCTCCAACCCTGCCTGAAGAAATCCATTCCTCCAATTCCCATTAAAATTAATTGAGCAGCTTTGAAAAGCTGAGCTTGGGGGATCGCATTATTCCTTTTATCTAATTTTTCTTTTATGTTATTGTATTTTCTAGCAAATTAAATTGTCCTCTTTTTCTTTTTGGCCCCCTTATGTTTATTCACAGTATCTATAATAGACGTGGTTAAAAATATATATACACACATCTCTGAGGCCACGTGGCTTCCTTTGGAAATGCCAGTTCATAAGAAATCAAAACTTTCTGTGGGGAGATGGATGAAATTTCATTACGGGCGCAGAGCCTCCCCCACTTTGCGAGGCAGCTGAAATGATTTCATTGCTGTGGAGCACTTCCCATTTTCATTTCTCATTTGGATGTTCATTTCAATTTGTTTGATAAATTATATGAGATAAAAAAAAAAAAACCCAAAACCAAACCCCAAATCAATAAATGCAGCCGATTGCTCCTGGCATCCCAAAAATGGGGTGTCCCCCCTCTCAGTTCTGGGGAGGTCCATCTGGAGGGTGGGAAATCCCAGGCAGGCGCAAGGAAATGTGTTTTCCCCATGTGGGGGTCAAACAGGGCTCCAGGGAGACGAAGGCCAGGGTTGCCCCAGCCCTGACACCCTGGGGATGGTCTCGTGTTGTCCCCAGGCCCCCCCCCCCCCGGCACCACCTGCAGCGGGGGGCAGCAGCCTTGCCCAGTGTGCTCACGGCACCGAGAGCTTCCCCTGTTTTTATTTATTATTTTAATCTATTTGTCATTAAAAATGCATCATCTGGGGGCTCGGGGAGGGCAATCCATTAGGCAGGCAGGGCCCCCCCCGAGCACACGCAGCCGTGATTGCTGCCATGGTTTGCAGGAGCACGGCCGTGTTTTCATCAGCGGGATGGCGTCGCTCAGCGGGGGGGGATTACGCCAGGGGCCAGACCCCACCGTGGTGTAAATAAGGAGTAACAGAGGTGCTCCCCTCCCTGCCAGCCTCAGGGCAGGATCCCCAGCGACGGTGACCCCCCAGAGCCTCTCAGCTCCCCCATGCCCCTCTTTGCCGTGGGCCAGATCCTGGCTCTCCCCAGATTTGCCATTAAGCTGGGTGAAAGCGCTTTTGAGAAGGCGCTTAGGCTGTGTGTTCTCCCCATCGAGGCACTTTGTAAGGCAAATGGCCTTAAAACATTCATCAAATGCCAACATA